GTGTGCTCTCTCTCAGAGATCGTTGATAAATATGGCCTTATAATTTCATAAATTCAAATTCGACTTCCCCGCTTACAATCTTTTCTTCAAAAGGTTTGTGAGCCTTCTTTGGCTTTGAAGCAGGAGACTTGACTGGAAGCCGCCGGAAGAACTTATTATAAGTTCTTCCGACGGCTTCGTCAAGCCATTGAGCGGAAAGGACTGGATTTTTTGAAAGGTCTTCCCGCTACTTTCAAGCCAAAGAGGGTGTCAACTTCAATGTTAATGCATGTCTTTTAAAAACTCTCAATGAAAATTTTGAATAAGGAACTCGCATCAATCATTTAAGAAATTTTGAAAAAGCAATGAACGTTTAAAAACCGATGCTTAAAATGAACCCTTTCCTTAACAATGTTTCTGGTTCAGCCCTTCGCGTTGCGAGTTCATTATACAAGTTGTTCCTCTCTTTTCTACCCTACTTCGTGTGTGTATAGTCCTTTCAAACCGCTCGCCCGTGTGCTTGCTTTACTGCGTTGCGCCACTAGAAAAGCGGGCAATAGCACATGCAATCGTTCTATTTTCCATCCATGCTCCACACTGCGTGGAATTTGATATGAACGGAGAAGGGACTTTTTGGATTGCCCGCCACTGCAGCGCTCCTTTGATTGCGACGTGCTGACCATTCAGGGAAGTGTAGTGGCGGGCGGTACAAAAACCCCGTTCTCCATCCATGTCTAAACCCACGCTGCACGGGTCAGAGCTCATGTTCTGACAAGAAGACCGTTCAAAACTGCGCACTCAAAATGTCTCAAGGGGGACCGAACTCTTTTCGTGTTCCGACGGATGCAGCGGCGCCAAAGTTCTCTGATTATCTAGATTAAATTGAATTAGACGCCACATTTTCGCATGACCATTGACAACTTCAGTTCATGTACCAGTCTGAGGTTTGGTAAGATTCTCCACTTCTGTGATGCTTGATTATGAACATGCTATTATAACTTGATCTTAGGGGTATAGGGGTTTCCACAAGAGTCAGTTCAACACTGTTGTATAGACCTCGACACGGCACCCAATTGACATCATGCGTTAAAAGTGCGTACTTGGTGTCAGTACATTGTCCACCACTCACCTAACACTTGTATTTAATACTTTTTTAGCTTCTACTTCCTCCTCCTCTCTCTGGAGTTCGGAAATGATTAGAGAAAATCTTGCTAAGACTAAATAATTCCAAATATTGCTACTCATACTGAAATCTTATGGCAAGGGGGTTATTTGTCATGCTGATCCGAAAATGGTCCTCATTTTGCTTGATAGCCGTTCATCGTGTAACTGCAGCAGTTTCCCGGTACGAAGCCAAGACCACAAAATTGCGTAGAAATTTGTTTGATGAAGTTATCTAAATGCCGTAAGAAATAGTATCTATTTCATGATATTTCTTTCCTGTAGTTACGAGCAGCAGAAATGTCAGGATGAATGATCCTCCATAGCTAAGTTTGGAGTTATTTGATGTGCTAAGTGGAAGTGCAGGTCAGAGGTAGAGAGGCTGTCTTTCCGGAATAGTCATGTAATCACCGCAAAGTTGTACTGCCTATGCCAATTACTTTTATCATTTCTGACATTCATAGGGCTTTCGATGCCATCGTAGGGTCTTCAAGCGCGTAAAAGGTAATGTAAGATGTTTGGCAATTTTTTTTCAAAATGATCTATCTCATTGAAGGTATTTCTAAGACCTCAAAACTCGAAAAAGCAAGTTCTAGTATTGTTTACACGATATGTGCACAGCAGTCTGGTGTCTCCCAGTCGAGAATAGATATATGCAGAATGGAATTCATCTTTTCAATGAGCATGCAAAACACACTTAACAGATCCTAAGCAGTCCTGTTTCAGTACCCTGGCAGCTGCTGCACTTACACGATAAACGGCTATCAAGCAAAATGAGGACCATTTTCAGAACCAGCATGATAAATTACCCCCGTACCATAAGAGTTCAGTATGAGTAGCAATATCTGGAATTATTTGGTTTTAACAAAATTTTCTTCAATCATTTCCAAACTTCAGGGAGAGGAGGAGGAAGTAGGTTGAAAAAAATATTAATTACAGGTGTGAGGTAAGTAGTTAACATTGTATTAGATTGTACCGAAAGTTCTGTCGTTTCATTTTTGAAAATTTGTAACTTTGCGCTGTTTCAACGGATTTGCTTGCCTGTAATTTTGTTGGAAAGAACAAGTCTTTCTCTTTCGCTGTTTTATGGAGCTTCTGTTTCACATTGAGTGCGGAGATAAAAATGGAAAACTAAGACCTTATCAGCTTTGAGCATTTTAAGTTAGGTCAGCAAAAATCTGGAATGCTGCAGAAAAATCTGAAATCGTCAGTACATATGTTTTTTGACCTACCTTTTGCATCTGTGAAAAAATTGTGCTGTTTGGACGTCTCTGTGAGAAGTTATGATTTTCGCGAAAATTGAAAAATCAATTAATTTTGGCCTTTTCCATAGTAAACTCGATATTCATAACTTCTCACAGAGGCGTCCAAACAGCACAATTTTTTCACAGGTGCAAAGGGTGGGTCAAAAAACATATGCACTGACGATTTCAGAACTTTCTGCAGCATTCCAGATTTTTGATGACCTAACTTAAAATGGTCAAAATTTACATGATCTTAGTTTTCCATTTTTATCTCCGCACCCAATGTGAAACAGAAGCTCCTCAAAACAGGGATTGAAAGAAAAAGACTTATTCTATCTAATAAAATTACAGGCAAGCGAATTCGCTGAAACACCGCAAAGTTACAAATTTTCAAAAATGAAACGACAGAACTTTCGGTACAACCTAATATTCACACCAAGTACGCACTTTTGACGCATGGTGTCAATTGGGTGCCGTGTCGAGGTCTATACAACAGTCAGTTCAACGGCTCGGGTCTTCATGGGCCCTCTCCACTCTTTCGCCGCGTTCGCCATCATCGTATGTTCCCACGCTTGAGGCGTGAGAGGTACCTATCCTTAGACGTCAATAGCTGACGAGCTTGAGAAAATGCCTAAAATACGGCGTGGCGCAGACGAGGCGGCTCGCGGGGACGAGAGTCATGCCGTTTACGACACACACTTAGAATGAAAACCGCTACCCCTTTTCCTTCTTAACTCTTGCGTCCCTACTACAGCAGTCAGTAGCCTCTGCTTGAATTTCAGCCAATATCAACACTACATTGTTAGTTTGATTGATTATTGATTTCACAAATATTTTTGAAACCCATTGACCAACAATCTTGTTGCTAGTCTTTTTTGCTATGTATTTGATATTTCAGATGCAGCTTGGATACAATCTGCTTGAGAGGTAGATAGTAAGTGCCGACTTCATTGAAAATCGTGGATTATATAGGTTTCCTTCGTTTATATAAAAGTCAGCCGAGTAGAGGGCCACATATCGGAAAGGCGAGGTCTCTGCAGGTTATCTGCAATGAATTCGCACTTTCCTTGTGTGTGAGGTGTGCATTTGCGGCGGATGACCGCGTAGCCGCAATGTCCTACCTTTTCCGAAGCTTTGGCCGCTTCTTTGGAGACAAACAGTCGGGTTGTTTGACACACACCTTTCTTGCCCTAACCCTGAAGATTTGTTTGATTTGATGAGTGATGAACAGAAGTTTGTTGAAGCACCTTCTAACAGGAGGACGCGGTCATTGTTGGACTGTTTTTGCTTCACATTTTTTCCCATTACAAAATCTGTTTTTTTGCAAGCCGCTATGTCTTCGGAAATTCTATTGATTGCATATCAAACTTTTACCCTTAAGACATAAGTGAACTGAACCTTCTACGTGAACCAGTTTTATTTTGAGAGCAACTCTTGAGGTGGACCTTGCCTAAAGTTGGTTGAATGAAAAGTGAATGAAGAGTAAAAGATTGAATTTTTTCCCGCAGTTAGTAAATATTTTAGTCTATTTTCACCTTTCATTTTTATTAGTCGAAACGTAAGGTCAATAAAGACCCACCACAAACCTGGTTGGCAGAAGAACAATACACGATATTTTGGTCTATATTTTTGTATTTCGAGAGTCGAATGTGATTCTCTAATTGAATGCTGATCTACATAACCTAAGTGATACAAATTTAGTCAAATCTAACGCTGGATACAACGCTTGCAAAAGAGTGATTTTGGGCTAAGTGGCTTCAAAGTTGTGGTCTCAAGACTGCTATTTCTTTCAAACATGCTCTTGGAGGATTAGAATGTGCTCGTTTTTTTTTGATTTCGTGGAAACAGTTTTCCAGGAGTTGCAAACATTTACAGCACTGTCTGTCCAGGAAACAAATACAGTCTTGAGCTATTTTCGTTATATCCCCATAACTCTCTTTAACTTCAGCGAAATTCGACAAAATGTTGCTAAGGCTTCCGTCGTTATTGCAGTGTTCATGAAAGATATTAGCTGCTAAAATCCTGGAGACTCTGAAAGTATCCTTCTAGTTTTGCCTTTTGGTAGGGTTAGAGTTTGTTTTGTCAATGAACCTCAAGGTAAACATGTGATTTGATAAATACGAATTCATGGATGGTAAGGCTATTTCAAGGTAGTATCAGGTTTTATAATTTTCTTACCGTTCTTGCTTTCTCCCGCAGTAACTCATATTCCTTTTGTTGCTTAAACAAGTTTACCGACCATCCGACAGCAAATCAACGTCTGCAAGACAGCACTCGGATATTTGCTTAAAATTTGTTCTACGCAGGGCCCGGCACGAGGTTGTCGAAAGGGGTTTTCGAAAAGAAATTCCCCTTTGACCCAAAATTTTTTTTACGATTTCCCGTGTGACCCAAAACTGTTCCCAGTTATTGCGCAGTAAACACTTCACCCAAAGGACAAGTTTTATTAAAGAAAAAACGCAGTAAGGGGAGGGGAGAACAACAACGTAACGGCGTTTGACTATGGCTACTAACAACATGTGGAGCAACCGGGAAATTCCAGGCTCATTTGCAAAATTTACACCAGCTAACTAAACATTAAACTTCATACACACATATGACGAAATGCTCGTAGAATCAGCGCACAGTATAGATATTTTCCTCGACGAAATCGCAAAGATCACCATGGAATTCCATCTGTAAAAAAATATTTTCAATCAAAGCATTACTCAAATACAGGAAATCATTGGAGCTCATAGAAACACAAGTCTGCGCCCTATTAAGACATTTGATACGACTCCTAATGTATTAGGTTGTCCCGAAAGTTTTGTCGGTTTTTTCAAACCGCTATAAAACTATGCACAATGAAGATCTAAACGAGCTTTAACATGCATTCGATGCAGCTTTTCCTTCTCTTTATTAGAGTTACATTTCCTAGCAACAATCCTGTATGCTTATTTTGGTATTTGTTACAATTCTTCACATGTCATTTTTATCTGCCCAAAGTTAGGCTAATTTTTAAAAATTTCATTCCAACGTTCCGGAGGTGGTTAAGTAAGGCACAAATTGAAAAATTCTCGTACTACAAGGCGATATTTTTAGATTCTCCTAAAATGTTGTTTTTAGCTTCAAAAATTATTTCTTCGGAGGTCTCGATTTTTGGCAAATTCATGAAACACGCAACTGCAGCAAAAACATGAAAGCTTGAAATTTTTGCGAACTTTAACTTGGTTGCTAATAAACAGTATTCATGCAACATAACCAAGTTTAATTTGCTTTGAAAAATCAGCTTTTTGGAATTTCGGTAACTTTACGTGGTAGATGTAATCAAAAAGCCGCGTTTTTTCTTAAATAAATAATTATAACGGACTTGATAAACGTGACCCACGTAATCTAAAGTAAATACAATGTAGCCAAAGATTTACTCTACGTAACAGTTACTAGCGCTCTTCGGAAACATCAGTATAAAGATTTTTAAAATTCAGGAAAGATTTGGCGTTAGTGCTGAACTGCTTAAAAAGCCATGGCGATAATATTGCAAAGACAGGGTAGATCAGAGACCTAATATAGCACTAAGAAAGAGTATAAAAATTTGAATTAAATGATACCTAAATGGTCCATGAATTGGTGTTCTTTGGGTTTAGCGAGCGATGAAAAAAACCGACAAAACTTTCGGGACAACCTAATATAATCGGAGCGACGTCACAACCAACTACATTTCTGCAAATTACTAACTATCTCTCACCACATTCTCAAAAGAAGACAATTGCCAAAAAGCTTTTTTCAAAAGTTTTTTTGTAAAAGACCAAAACAAACCGTTCGATTCCCTTTCAATTCATAGCAAATAATCAAAGAAGGCTGTTATGTGCAAGATATTTTCCTAATCTAAAAAGCCTTCTTTCCAGACTTAAATAAAATTGTACCTTGATTTTGAAGTCGAGATCGCATTCGTTTCTAGCATTCGGTGCAACGGAAAAGTAACTCGTCATTTCTTCACCTTTCTTCACAGTGAGAGCATCCTGGATTGAAAACTGCTCTTGATAACTGCAAAACGTTATGTAAAAGACAGTCTTTTTCCAACGGGTGTACTGCACATCAGGGCCAATAGAGAATCCGATTCTTTCATGTTATTTGGAAAATTCGACTGTGAAGAAGGTCACCAAAGCCTGAAGGAGGAAAATAAGCTTTTCGATGGATCTTTGAGAGATAAAAAAACAACTTGTGACTGTATCTCTCTGCATGATCGCGAGAGTCGGTGAGTTTGCAGCCATTGCGCGCACAGGATGTCAGAAGCCTGAAACCAACTAAACAACCCCGTTCTATTCAAAACCGTCTCAAATAAATGAAGGCTAACATCGGATAGCAGAAAGGCATTCAAAAGGAAAAAAATAGCGAGAAAGATCAATGCGCGAGCAATGGCCGCAACCGCGCCGACTCTCGCGATCATGCAGAGCCCTATATATCTGCACTGCGACTGTTGAGTATGAATACTCTTCTTTATTATCCAAGAAAGGATAGCCGTTTTCAGGGCAATGTGGGCATCAGATGCCCTGAAGCAGAAGATCAACAAAAATCAAGAAACTTTGATGGAAAAGTTTCCAAAAGTCAGCTCATAAAGCAAAAACTGGGCAGAAAACAAAAACAAATCCTTTACAGGACGAAAAAGGGGTAAATGAAACAGCATAAGTCCACTCACACCTTTCGAAATCGCATCACCGATCCACTTTGCAAACATTGTGACAACCATAGTGGGCACAATGAACTCCAAGCTTCCCGTAATTTCAAACATAATCACAACCAACGACACCGTCATTCTAGAAAAATTTGTTGTTTTCTGATAAAAATGCATGACTATAGATCTAACCTAGTTACTCCTCCTAATACAGCCGCTGCTTCAACCATGGCATAGAGCCCGGGCATGACGCAGTCTTTTCCGTTCTGGCAAGACCAGTATGAACAATAGCTCCCTTTGCTTCTAAATTTACGCAGTATAGAGAACAAATTAAAAAAGAAGGTGTCATGTCAGAATAACTTATTTGATGATGACAGACCTGGAATGAGAGAAAAACCTCTCCATGCTCATCCCTACGAGTCCTTCGAGTTCCTGCTGTTGCACCCATAGCAATGGATGGCACGAACACCCCGCATGGAACCTGCAAATGGCACCACCTGGAAATTTCTAAAAGATCATAGAAATGACTAACAAGGCAAAAAAGGCAAATTGCTATAGAACAAAAGCGACTGCGTAGAGTTTCAAAACTGCGGTTTGCAGAAAAGAAAAGAAAGAGATGAACATGGAGAAAATATTGCAGGCAACTTCATTTCAAGCAAATTACTCACTTTAATGCCAAAAGTAAATATTATGAAGATAAACATGAAGATCAGAGATCAACTGTCAAAATGCACTCTAAACTGGCATGAAAATGCGAATTGCCAAGAAATGGAAATATCCCCCCCCCCCCATGTACGCCATCTCCAAACACTCCATTGTGGTAATTATTATCGACTTTATTACTGCTGAATGTTTTGTTTTGATAATCACACAAGTTGCTCATATAATCTTCCGGGCCTCATCTATCGAAAAACTAGAAAAACAAATATTGCGAGACAATTATGGAAATAAAATCAACATAAAATCAACTACTAAAACTCCGTACCTGTAATCGTTTTTTAGCGCAGCGCAGCTGGAAATCTGACTTTCAGGTGAGATCTTCGACTTTCAAAGTATAGAGATCAGTTTGCAATACTATTTAACAAACATGAGTCGCAGCGGGAGAAGTTGCACCTACCTCTTTTGAGCAGTAATAATTAGTGACAACTTGCGCATTATCTACAACATCCACCAACGGTTCAGTGATGGCAACTTTTTGAATAGCGGACATATTGAACCCGTATACGTTACCCACCTATAACCCAAGGCTGTTGATGAAGCGAAAGAAAGACTAACAAGGGAAGGATGGTCAGTCGAATGGCCTTTTGCGATGATTTGCATGCAATGTTGGAGGATGTTGCTAATTCTGTTGATTCTAAATCTGTCCTCCTTATCTGCGGCGCATTCTTGGACGAAAAGTTATGAGCGCTTAAAGGAGCAAAAATGATGCTTTCTGGGATAAAGACAGTTGTAAAAATTTTCCCAGCGCTTTAATGAGACAGCCGGAGTGCGGATATGTCTCTTCTGAAAGTATTCATTTTATAGAATGCTGGAAAAATTAGTATTGGTCCATTTGAGCGCTAGGAAAAATGTTACTATTGTTTTTATATTTATCAAGTTGTCCCTTAAGTCTTTTTATTTTTGAGTTTTTGCTGTAATAAGTGATACACTTCTTATTCTAAATAGAAATTAGGATACCATTCGATAGATCAATTCAAGCTCTATAAAATGGTATTCATGCTTTTGCACAAGCTTTGGTCCATCTCGAGTTCTAAACCAAAATCTAAAAAGTTTCGGATGCTCAGAAATCCGAAGATTTTTATATCTTCGTTAAAAAATCCTACACATCTCTAACTCACTCACGCATATACATTCCACATCAGACATTCATAAGTGCTGTTGCTATATTTTTTTATTAGCTAGAAATCAAGAAACCGAAAATTTCCATGCTTTTACCAAAGTGATGCTGTGCTGTTCTTACACCAACAGTTATATACTAGAACCCTTAGAAGTAATACCGGAGATTGGCTCTCTATATGCTCTGGTTCACGAGAAATATCAATTTTATTTTTCTTCACTCGGGTTTTTCACGCTTAAAGCAACATTTCTCGGAAACAGAGCTTATAGAGAGCTAAAAATTTACGATTGTACTTCTAAGGGCTTGTAGCATACAACTGCTAGTGTAAGAACAGCACAGCATCATTTTGGTAAATGGAAATTTTCGGTTTCTTGATTTCTAGCTGATAGAAAAATATGGCAACAGCACTTACGAATTGATGTGGAATGTATATGCGTGAGCGAGATAGAGATCTATAGGACTTTTTGAACGAAGATATAGAAAATTTTTGGTTTTTTGGGCAACCGAAACTTTTTAGATTTTGGTTTAGGACTCGAGATGGACCAAAGCTGTGCAAAAGCATGAACACCCTCTTATAGAGCTTGATTTGATCTATCGAATGGTGCCCTGATGTCTATTTAGATTAAGAAGTGTGTGACTTATTATAGCGAAAACTCAGAAATGAAAAGACTTATAGGACAACCTAATATATGCACATTCAATTTTTTTCTCCAATAAACGCTCACAACTTCTCGTGCAGGAACGCGCCGCAGATAGCGAAGACAAGTTTGGAATCAGCGTTTTATGCCCTTCAACATGGTATACAACTCATCTTAAAAGGCCACTTCGACCAATCATCCTTCCTTTGTAAGTCCCGTATGCACGTACATCCCCGCGGGGAGGAGATGTGCGTTCTACCATTGAAATGTCCGATATAGTCTTTGTGCATACGGGGGTTTGCGTGGGGAGGGGAGGGGATCCCCACGCACGGGATATGCACAAAGACTATATCGGACAAGGGAGCCCCTGTAGGGAGGGGAAGAGAACCCCCTTATGCACAAGAGGGGATCAAGCGGGGAGATCACCTTGCTTCCAAATCTTCTATAAAAAAACTTTTTCTTATTTTCATCCTTTGACTGCAACTCATCTTCATCTCCTCAGTCTCAATAATTTAGGGTTGCGAAATGCGCGTATGCAGTGACTGCGCCTGGGCGCAACAAAATGATTTTTTCTACTCCCACGATGTTCCTGCTTTCTTAATGCTGCCCACTTTCGCTCATGCTGCCCCATTTCAGCGTAAAAGTGTTGAACTATAGAAGTCAAGGTGCCTCTGCACGTGAATGGGTAGAAGACGTTATGCTGCCGAAAAGGGGGGAGGGGGCGCCGCGCGGACACTCAAGTACTTTAACACATAAAGAAGTCGCAAATCGTACCAGCTCTCCATGAAGGTTGCAGCTACCACGATATATCGTCCGTTACCTCAAGGGAATGATCCCCAGCGGTCATTCCTGCTATGCACGAGGGGGACACTGGGGAGGGGATCACTCCCCCGGAAATCTCTATTCAGAAATAGAATCTGCTAATTTTTTGGTTTTTTCAAGCAATTCATGTGGGGATTACATGGATAAAACTATCTTGTCATAGAATACTGCGAAGATCTCGGAAATAACCAAAAACTCCTCCAGGCGTTCGAGACTGGCAGATAATTGCTCGAATCTCTTCGCGAGAATCGAAAATAGAAGAGAGAGGTAAAATTGCAAGCTACAAGACACTGGCAGAGGAACCCGGCTTTGAAAGAAAATTTTTCATAAAATTAAACGACATGCTTTGTGATAACTGATTAGAACCAGAATATTCGCTTCTCTGGCATGACTTACACCCTTGAACCCCTACTTCGCTGTAGGGGATGACGATCCCCTTCCCTGCGTTGTTGAGTTATATTCGTGCATACGGGGAAGGGAAGGGAAGGGATCCTTACTGGGGTTCGTTCGATCAATACCTCCAAAACCAAGTGCTAAATCTGAGGCAGCGAAACAGTACCGCGAACTCTCAAACGCTGGAAACCACGGAAAATACGAAATGCTGCGAAGCACATCGCCACAACATAACTGCAAGAAAATCTTAACATGAATTGCGAAATAGACGCACCCTACTTCAAAAATCATCATTATTATTATTCACAGCACGTAGCGAATATAACGAAGCTTTTGAATAGTAATAATACGGAGAACAAAAGAGCGAAGGAGGGAGAGGTAAATGGGGAGGTTGGAAGGAGAAGAGTCTAGTGCACACAAGAATTGACCAAAAATAACTTTTTCGGCGAGTTCTTGTAGTAGCCGCCGTGAGGTAGAAGCGACCACCGCAAGCACGCCATCCCCGCTGTAAGTGCAGGGGAAGGGATCGCTCCCCTACCCTCTGTCATAGCGGGGTTCAGTGGAGGGAATCGTTCCTCAAGGGATCCAGCTCCCCTCTTCTCCCCAGCGGGAATGTACGTGCATACGGGCTTAAGACTATACATACCAGTGGATTTTGTCCTCCGCGTATTGCCTATTTTCAATCGCGCACAAGAACAGCTTTGCTTTGTCCGGGAAAATTAGTCCGCCTTCTTTCAACCACTTATCTCTAGCGAATTACGGTGTTGAGCATAGATTCATAGAATAAGCAATAGCCCATCCATTCCGACACAATGATGTCAACCTGAAGAAATGATAAATGCGCATGGGCTATCTGGAAGTTCTGCGACTTCTTCAACTTTTGATTGGATTACGGTGATAATGTTATCAATATTGTTGTCTTTGATGAGTTGACGCGACTGTAGGGCCATATTTGGGAACTCTAGCTGAAGCAACCAATATCAGCGACTTTTTCCTTAACATACCCAGATGAAGCGTTACTGACTTCTAAAAAACTCAGCCCAACTATCTAATAACAGAAAGATAACTGATTGAAGTGGATAAAGAATAAAGAGTAAAAAGTAAGAGTAAAGAAATATCAGAAACACCGACTAAAGGAATCAGAGATACGCGTTATCGAATGGAGCGCGCTTTCTTCTTTAGGAAACGGAGCTGCTGAAGTCATTTTTGGCTCTAGCAATGAGTGAGGAAGAGATTTGAAACCAAAATTTTAGTATGTATATACTAACCTTTAGGCTTAGAGTAGATTAACTTTGAAAAAAATTTTGTGAATTGAAAGTCTTCACAACCTCAGGTTGTCATTAGGTTATCGCGTGACAACCTAATTTGAAAATAAGTTGGGCACGCTTTTCATTCACATAAGTTTTTCATAATTTTTCATACTTTGTTACTTAGTCCTACTGCGCATATGCACACTAAATCCCGCGCAATTTCGTCAAGGTAGCGAGAAATTTTCAGAAAAAAGTTTGCCACAACCTTCAGTCACAAAATATTTCAATGGAACTTCTAAGTTAGCTCCTACAGGCATGTTTCCACGTACTTACCAAGTTTCATACCGTATCGTCATCTGCGCGTTGCAAACGAGCCATTTAAATTCACATCTTCATGTTCTAATTTTGCAAAATTTTCGGAAAAATGCTTATTACTCGTTCCGTTCACATATTTCCATAAATTTCGTACTTTGCTTCCACTAGCTTTTCTCCGTTCGCTTACAAAATTTGGCGCTATATCGTTACGCATACTTTGAGAACTAGTCATGTAGGCTGTTACAAATAACAACGTTTGAGCGACGTCGCGCGCGCGGCAATTAGCGACGGCGCGGTTTGACGCGCGCGAACCCCAGTGTTCGCCTGTTGAGGCACATAACATGAAGATAGCAGAGGACCATAAACTACCAGTTTTTTACGGGGCTTCGCCCCGGACCTTGCAAACACGATTTCTGCTTTGCTTTTTTTGCCGAAAACGATTTCCAGCTTGTTACTTGACAACCTCGTGCCGGGCGCTGGTTCTACGTGAAATGCGAAGCCGAAATCTATGAAGATCTAAATGCCTGAAAAGTGGAAAAAATATCGTGCCCTCCTTCAAAAAGTTCCCACGATCTCCGTACATGCTCATGCAAACACCATCCATCTGAGGCATTCACGTACGTATGCTTATTTTTTCCATGTCTAGGAATGAAGGAAGATATAGTTTTCATGTTTTCGCCAAAACCTCCGCTGGGCTGTTTCTACGTAGGTAATTCTATAGGTATGATGAACCTTCGACAACTATGAAGTTTTGGTTTTTCATTTACTAGTTCTTTCAGAAATATCAAGTTTAGCGCAAAACCCCGAAAAAGACGATTCAAGAGATACGAGTTTTTTTTTCGACTTTCCGAGCATTTTAATCTACTCAGATTTGGACTCTGAATTTTTGCCAATACAAACCTTAAGCATACCCAGCTATGCCACTGCCAGCAGCGGATGCTGTCTCCTAAAGCTTGCTTCGCTCTATGATACATTGCAGGATCTATTCAAGAAATAAGAGGAATACCAGTTTTTGTAGGAGAAAGTAAAAACGTTAAAAAGTCATGGGACCCAATATTTACCTGAAGGTATCATTCCACACGAAATCATTCTTGAAGTTCAAACTGAGCGCATTGTTGCACTTTCAGCTCATCTTTAAATTGACGACCATGCAGTTTTTTGGTTGTCTGCCACTTGGGACCAAGGCCTTTTTACGCCCCTCCCACTTTTTCAACTATAATCACGCATACTGCAATCTACAATACACCTATAGTAGATCTGAATAGTTGACAAAAAAGGTAGAAGTCATCCACAGATTCTGTGCAAAAGAAAGCTCATAGAATGTGTTAATTTCAGGATAGTAGTCATTTTACCAAAATTCAAGCCTTGACACACATGGTGTGTCAAGCGGTCCCACGCGGTAGTCATTGCTTGACACACCATGTGTGCCAAGCAGTCGTCAATGTGTTAAGCTTCAAAATATAAAGTAGCTAGCTGCATGATTTGGCCTCGCGATAAGCCAAACATGGCTCTGTACTCCCAAATTTGCGCTTTGCATGCACGATTTCTTATCAAAATGATGATCGCTAAGCTCTAATTTCCTTCACGAAGGCGTCAAGCAGATAAGGAATACAGATTTGAAGTTAGCGTTTTATGCTGCATCTAATGGTATACAGCCTGCCTGTATTGACCACTTCGATATCTGACCATTCCCTTGTTAGCGGTTCTTACTCAATTTCACCATGGAATTCCATATACAGCGATGAACTCCTGGATCGACATGAACTCTTAATAGTTTAACAGAACAAAACTTCCTCCTCGAACTATGAATTCTGAGCTGTCCCCACTTCTATAAGAGGTAACTGCGGCGGTATGTACCAAATTCAGGTTCGGGCATGTACTCTCGTACAGGTCGTAATCCAGTCAGATGCAAGTGCTTATTCCCATGATGCGTGAACGTGGGCGCATGACCGTGCAAGAGCCCGGTCAAGCAGAATGGGTAGGTCTGCAACGCCTGGTCACCTATCTGATCTCGCTTACTATGAATAGTGTGAGATAACGCATCTCTTTGAATAGGTGGCCGAAAATGGTAATGAATCGAGCGATTCATTTACCAGTCAACATGTAAGATTCGATAATTGTTTTGCTGTAAGGGATTCATCTAATTTGAGGTTTTATTTGATTCAATCTCTCTTGTAAATTCTGTAAGCGTAGATGCACAGGAATGCACGCGAAAGAACTATGTTATGAGAACAAGATATAAGACGCAGATAAAGGATTAATATGTTATGAGAATGATCAACTGTTACAGGTATGAGGACGATATACATTCCGCAGTGTGGTATATAATCTTCCACCGTGAGCACCCGAGGACAGTCCATTACCAAGCCTCGAGGAGTTGAGCTAAAGATAGGACGCCTACTGGCGAGCTTTCCCTCCACGACCACAGGCCGATCCCGACCAGTAATCCATACATCCAGTAGAACAGTCTTCTCGTTGTTGTATTCATTCGCCTTAGTGTATTGCTTTGTTCTCGTTTCATAGTATAATAGATAAACTATTAGTATGGCTAGTGCTCAAGTATCTACCAGCCTTAGCCGCTTCCATGGCGCCTACGTTGAGTATACCATGATTGCATCAAATCGAATTTCAAATCAGAAAAATCTTTTGCATTATAACAATCATTAAACTTTTCTCGTTGACTGGTGGATAAATCGCTGATCGAGAAGAAAATTGCGCATGCCTTTGTAATTGATTTCTCAATTCCTTGGAGTCCAATCCAATAAGTTGCATGTCCTTAGTGTTTGTGAATGTTAAAGTAGATATGTCCAACATAAAGGCACACTCGAATGTTAGTGTTCAGCATTACTAAGTGATCAATATTGAGAAAGTGGAAAGTCATCTTTGAATGCGGCGTAAAGTCGTTCCCTTTCTGAAATTCTCTGTTTAAAGAAAAAAATGAAGTGAAAGTTACGACATCAAATGTCAAGTGTAGTATACTGAACAGATATCATACAGATTTGGTTAGCTCATTTATTGTTTTTTTTTTGATGGAAGAATAGTTTCAAAAATTTACTACATAATAAAAGAAACACCGTTGCCATCCCTTGAGTGAACACTTCATAGAGGAATGCTACACTGTAAACACAATCTTTGTTGTTTAGATACCTCTAAATATCTTATTTTACCTGAGCAGTTGTATAATTTGTTGATATTCTTGATGTCCGATTTTGAAAAGTACTGCCGTTCATAGTTTTTGAAATTGGGAAAAGAGTAATGCATGATAGACTCTGGGTCGTAATCGCCCATGTAGTACATCTTGGTTCTCGGGTAGATCTTATGATTGTGACGATACCAATCATCCCCGTGTGGGTCAAGCGCTGCATCAATAAGTGGATTGCGATCGTCTCTGAAAGCGTCTTCCTTGAATTCAGTATTTAGACTTCAAAACAAAGTTTCTTATCAACCTCTGATGTTCGTGTTTAAAGCCGATAGCGTGCATCAGTTCATGAAGCAAAGTAGATTGAGTGAAGCAATCACGACTCAAATTCATCTCTGTTTTGAATTTGCCCTCAGGTGTACGAGAATCCTTATCTGTTTGACGACCGACTTGGCTCGAACACTTCCCTGGGTTAAAATCATTCGAGATTGATATGAAATACATATCACTTAGAGTTCGCGGTCGAAATTTTATACACGTGTGATTGCGAAATGCGTCCATCGCCAACTGGATTTTACTTCGTTCTTGAGAATTGTACTTTGGTGACATTTCATATGGAACTTCTCCTCTTGGCCACAGGCTAAATAGAGTCCTGGTTCTGAAAAGAAGCTCGGAAGCGTTTATAGAAAATCTAATACCTTGAAGCCCATTGATCACGAGGAAGCACAAGCCCTTTGAAATGTGTACGTTTGACGGCGCCCGCACTTCTCTTATTCGCTTCATCTGATCCATCAAACAACTAAGAATAGTGTGATAGAAAGCATCAAAGAAGTCATGTGATTTTCACAAAATCACATGACTTCATAAATGTTTTTTTGCTGCTAATTATGTCCTAACTACTTTCATGCTCGTTTTGGATGTGGCACATCTTCTACTTATGAAATGGGTAACCAGATAAAAACATAACATTAGGTTGTTCGAAGATTAATGACCGTTTCTTGCGCGATTGCAGAGGAGTAAATATATAATTGCAGGAAACATATCATTTGCTAAAGGAAAGAAAGCTCTACAAGATGGCCTTCCAATAATTGTAGAAATCGATTTACGCGGCTTTGAAAGCAAAGTATGGAAAAACCAAATACCTAAAAAATTGGATCACCGTCCAAAGCGCTTCTGCAAACTCCACATCTGACATTCATATACACCTTACTGCAAAATTTTTTTAGGGCTGAAGATTGAAAAACAAAAATTGGCAAAGAATTCGAAAATATCAGCTTTTTCTGGTTTCTTGTGATAAACGTGATATTTTTCGAAAACGAGTGCTTGCAGAAGGCTGAAATTCTACGGTTGTACTTTCAAAGGTTTATATTATAGAATTACTTATGTAAGAGCAGCCCAGCATTGCATTTGCTGGAGCATGTTAACTTTTATCAGGTTGTGTAATAAGTTTTGTCCCATTTTTTTCGATTTTTTCTCATATTTTGCGCGATGCTGTAAATTGTTTTTATACATTTGAAAGCTCTAAGCCTTCTTTACTAAGACTTTCATTTCGGTTTTCTAATCAAATGATTTGCAAAAGTTTTACAGCGTCAAATTTGGGAAATCAAACAGGGAAAAGTCTATTTTTGACAACTACGTTAAGTCTTTTTCCTAATAGTCAGAAAAGCCTACGAATAAGCTCGAAAAATTTGCTACACATAAGCAAAGAATGGTTTAGCTTCTTTGCGCTTCAGGAGTGCTGAAACTTTTCAAAAATCATTTCCGTAGACTTTAGAAAAGTCTTCTTTCTAACGCTTTTCGAACGTTGGTGCTGGGCATCATTTGAAAAATTCCTGAGGGAAGACGGTAGGCGGATCATCCAGAAAAGACAGATGGTGGTTTGTGGCTTCAAAGTTATCGAATTCGTAGGTTAAATCCTCAAAATTCAAATTTTGGGAGCCACACAGCTTGCATGCGAGACGGCGAACATCGCAGTAACAAAGTCTTTCCTTGCCAACTTTCAAAAAAATGTCATTAAATAGTCGCTGGGAGGAAGGGAACATGCGCAAACAGTGATAGAATAAGTGTAAAAGTTTAATAATTGTTTTGGTTGTTGTCAAACCTGTTTACTAAGTTTTACCAATAAAAATTCAGAAAAATTTGGAGGAAAAAAGATGTGAAAAACTAATTTTTCTGTTCTTTGGATTTTTTGTTCAAGTAATAAAAATCTTTTTCAGTTCCCTGCTATGTTGGGGAAGCATATGGGCCTGCAGGGCAGACTTAGAACTTTCAAAAGCATGCACATTGTCTCAAATAAAGTCAATGTTGTCAAGAAAAAACTCGAACAAAAATTGAACTGAACTTATTACACGACCTAATAGTTTGCTAGCTTCTAAGCATGGAAAAAATAAAGCAACTGTGCATATGAATGCCTGATGTGGACATTATGTACTTGACCAAGTTGGAGATTCGAGAAAGCGTTTTGGACAAAAAACCTGGTTTTTGAACAACCTAAACTTCTCCACACTTTTCTTTTTTTTACTTTATGTAGATCAAATTTTTTGCGTCTGTTCATACGCTATCTGATAGAGCTTGCTCCCTTATGAATGATATATATTCTTCATTCTTCTATCTACCCTGACGCACTGCGTAACGGTCATCAATTTTCGGGCAACCTAATAAAACTGTTTGTGAATCTCTGAAAGCAAGTTCTCAGATAAACAATTTACAGATGATTCAAATTTTTCCTTTTTTCAAACTTGTTTGTTGTATGGAATACATCCTCCAAACCGCCCAAACTTTATAACAACCGTTTAAAACTGCTATGTTGGGCCAGTACCTATGGGAACGGAACAATCTTTGTTGCAAAAATAATGAGCGTTCTTCAAGGCTTTGATTCCGGACAACATTATTCCATCAAACTTTCTTCTTTGAATAAGATTATAGGCGATTCGTAACACGCAAAGACTGCGGACCTATCTGCGTCTCTGTGATCGAGCGCTCTTTCGTTTTTCTTACCATCTGCTGCCTCTCCCACGCAAGTATCTTACTCGGACGCAAGGGCGCTCAGTCTCTGCGTATTTTGAATCGCCGGTAGCGATATATTGAGAAGCATTTTATACTCTATCTGAAAAATTGGTCAGAAGAGGTTTCTACCTTCGTTAAAAATTTGCAGAACTTCAAATAACCGCACTCGAAACGAAAAATTCATTGCATTTACTTTTTTGGCCATAAATCAAGCACGAATGGAGGCATTCTTTTAGGTATTCAGCAACTGTACGTAATGGAAATTGTTTACACTATGCACCCTTTATTATTCTCAAAAATTATTTAGACACAGATATCGGCGCCTTAATATGAGTAGTCGTTCTAGTCATTCCGTGGCCGATAAATTTTTTTAGAATGCAATCGCCAAAGCTTTGCTCATTCCTGTAAGCGTAAATGTAGTCCTCCAGCTGACACTTTTTACAAAATAGTTTGGCTGTACGCAGAGATTCAAAAAAAAGACTTCTTATTAAGTTGTTACATAAGTCTTGTCACACTTTAACTTCTTACGACAATAAGTCGTGAACTTCATGATTTTAATAGGGCTCCAGGGAGCCCTATTAAAATTATGAAGAGAGGGAGCAGAGCAAAGCAAGCTCTACAAGATGGTTTGCAAAAGTTTGCTGCAGCTTTGACCCATCGTGAGTTTGCATCCAAATGTGAGTCGCACTAAAGGCTAAAAAAATTGGGAAAAAATAGCTTCTTCGAAAAAATCCTCCGCGTTTCCAACTTCATACACATCCTACTCCACACTAGACACTCACGAGTATCGTTGCTATAATTTTTTCATTATCTAGAAAGTGAAAAAACAAAATTTTTTTTGTTCTGGAAAAGCGAAGCTGTGCTGTTCTTACTCATGAAGTTGTTTACCATATGCCCTTAGAAGTATAACCGTAAATTTCAGCTTTTCATAGGCCCTAGTTTCTGAGAAATACTGAATTTAGCATTGAACACCCATGAGAAGTGAGAAGAGCTAAATTCAATATTTTTCGAAAACTAGGGTTTACGTAAAGCTGTAAATTTACGGTTATGCTTCTAAGGATTTGTAGTTTATAAATACATGAATAGAAATAGCATAGCTTCGTTTTTGTAAAAACACTACAATTTTCGTTTTCTTGACTTCTAGATAAGGAAAAGATATAACAACGGTACATATGAGTGTTGACGTAGTGTGCTATTTTTGTGAGCAAGTTGGAGATTAGTTGAATTTTTTTGAACGAAGATATGAATTTTTCGCGATTTTCTTAGTAGTACGACTCACATTTTGGATGCAAACTTGAAGGGGTCGAAGTTGGGGCGAACTTTTGCAAATAATCTTGTAGAGCTTGCTTTGCTCTATCAAAAACGGTGCCCTGGAGCCGTATCAGATTTATGAAGTGTACGATTAGTCATCGTAAGAATTCCAAGTGTAATAAGACTTATGTAACGACCCAATATTTGGGACTTTGAGAACTACGAAGAAGTGTTGGAAAAAATTTACTTGCGGCTAAGATAGGCTACTCATTATCTAAATTATTACGAATACTGCGCTCATTTTGCATGATAAGGCTATTTCGTAGGCTTTTGATGAAAATGGCTTGAAAGAAGCAAAAGATGGCCTATTCACACACTGTAACTTGCCATGACTACATAATAAGTCGTTGTTGGCGAACGACCATGAGAGTTTTAGTCAGCCTGCTTGAGAAACCTTTCTAGGCAAAGTTTAGAGCAAGTTTGGCTTTTCCAGCCAACTACCTTACAACGACCTTGACCAGGGTCAAGCGTAGAGTGTGCCATGCCACACCTGGGGGAAGGCGTATTAAAAAATCAGGGAGGGGGGTCGTTATCAAGGCGTCCCCTGTTTGCACAACATGACATTCGTTAACAATGTCAAGTAGGCCTGTCATGCAAAATACTAGCACATTGATGTTTGATCCATTATCGTATACTTCCAGTAAGCATAATTAAAGATCTATGAAGCATAAGAACATCGTTCTGTAATTAGCAAGCAAAATAACTCCTTTGAAGCTCCTTCAAATTTCAGCGAATTTTGAGGTTTTCAGATGCAGGACCACCTATGTGAGATGGTCATTCTCAGACATGTTACTCTGTTTCAAAGGTAGGTTAACTACTTCTTTGTGCGCTTAGTACAAAGAACTACAATTTCTTTGCTCACATTAGGAATTCAACTTATTAAGGAACTACGAGCAAGCCAAAATCTCGTTTGTATTTTTCGTTTTCGATAATTTAGGCTAGAGAAGATTAATCAGGCTCAAATCATTTGATGTAGATTACGAGGCTTAAGCTATCGAATATATACATTCTTGCTGCTTTCCCTTGCAATTCACGTAGCGCAGACGTAGTATGTTATCGTATCCCAATATTTTCGCAGTATTTTACCAGTATTTTACATTCGCATAGGTAACAAAAAATGATTATATCTTGCTCTTAAAGAAACATTTTCATATGAAATCTCTGCAATGTAAAGAAGAAGGTTGAGCAGAAACAACGATGTGAAAGACGCAGCTGTTTAATCTGTTTGAAGGTAAGTTAATAGGGTGTGGCACCATCCCTAAAATCTGTGGCAGCCACAGATTTTCGAGGGTGGTGCCACACCCTTTTTTAGCGAACGTTATTTATATAAATCGATAGCCTAGACCTCATAGACTTCATAGGAGTAATTTAAGTCTGATTAGTCTTCTTAGCTCTGAGTAATATTTGGTGAAAGCACAGCTATTTAAAGTGAAAAATAGGAAAAGCAAGCTTTTGGTTGGCTTCTAATTCCAACGTTGGGGGGTATTTTGAAGCGAGATATCTGAGGTGGCCAAAAAAGGAGTAGTGCTTTGTCGCGAGTGCAAAAATAGCAAGCTACTTCACTTTCGAAACAAAGTTAATCATGCTGGAGAATGGCGATTTCACTTAAGGACAGAGTATCTTGAACTTCAGAATTCGCTCAAACATCGTCTACAGGGGTTAATTGACATGCTAATTATGGATATGTTGCCCGTTATGTTTGACAGGGCCTTTAAGTAATCTTAGGTATATAGTTCACGGGGTCTTATTAAGACAGCAATAAGAGGGGGGTCGTAACCAGCGTTCCTGTCCCACACGTCTTGCTTGAACCTAACCGTAACCCGAGGAAATAGCGCTACCGTGCACAAAAGTACGGTATTCATGTTCATGTGCTAAACATCCTCTTGAAAGGAAGTTTGGCAAATTACAGGTTTCTATCTCTAGAGTTAACTGATGGGGGCCAAAGCGGCGGCTGACGCGGCTGATGCTGCTGACGGCTGCTAGCGGTATAAGGCACATTGAAGGCACTGTCGACTTTAAATTAAGAGTCTTAAGCTGTTAGCATCATACGGCAGAAGGACTACCTATCAAGCCAATGCCCACGTCGCGGCACAATTCTTCGGCGCTTCGGGAGCGAGAAGGCCGCTCCGGAATAACGGAGAGGCGCGAGAACTCCAAGCACCGCACTTCTCTAGTAATGCCCGCCCACCCGTGCGCGCCCATCCAATCACCGTTCTGAAAAATCAGCCTGCGGGTTCTCCGGAACGAGGGCTGCCGGGGTTTTGTGGATTCTGGTCTTCATGTTCAAAGTCAAGGACAACATGAGAAGGCCCTAAAACGGCAAAGACACAGAAGTCGAGATCGGATGAACGGTGCCCTCAAGGGCGCTTCACATCTATGTTTTGCGCTTATGCAGTGTTCGCTCTGCATTTATCTACTAGAACGATGACTAACATGGGTGAATGAGTCGAAAGATTACTTTGGCCCTCATCACCTCCGCAATTTAAAATCATTTTTAGAAGATGAATTTTGAATCAAATTGAAGCGTATAATGCTGACCTGGGATGAAGGAACATTCTTTATAGAGACGGCAGGGATACTGCGAAGAGACCGATCAGGCAGGTGGCTTTGAACATCTATAGATCGCTGTTCAGAGGTGGCTCATGTGGCAATATAACGCAAACCTGGAAGGTCCTTATCGTTTGACGAAGTTGTGACAACATCTGCCAGGGGGACGAAGGCAAAGAGCAGGAACAGCGTTGGGTGTAGCATAATAGATGTTAATTCTCACTACTAAATGGATTCGTTGTTTACGTAAACAGCGACTAAATCTAAATCCACCGACGCTTGACGTATAGTGTAAAAGTAACCAGCTTTTACATCATTCTCCAAGCATCTCAGGCATTGCGGAAAGGGTGGGGAGAAGGAGAGGAACAGCAAGTGATTGAAGATCGAGCGCTAGAAATATTACTCCTACTTCTTGAGGTTTGCTCGCAATCTTTTATCAAAAACATTCCAAAAATCTTGCTGGTAAGAAAGCTATACCACAAAAATGTCGGACGTCTCGAAGTTTACCCAAAATTAGCTGTGCCCAAGAGTCGGCGTAGGGAAAGCAAAAGATGCACAACTTCAGTATGATCGATCCACGGTCTACATGAATAAAATACATTCGTGGGCTTGGTGGTTCTGCTATTTGGTGAAAATTTGGTGCATGACTTAAAGAGTAGGGCTGTGGCCATAATATGGTTGGAGGTTTTGCTCTGATGTCAGCAAAATCTGGAATGTGTCTATTTTGCTGGCAATGCTTTTTCAAACGGTGGCTCGATGGGATGGTACGCCACCGATTTCTGGTGTTAGATATAGGCTCCATAGTTTAGTGCCCCAGTCCATAGTAGCCTCAGTCCCATCTTCGAACCCATGTGGTCAATTCTGCTCTGATTTCCTAGCACGATTGGGGTCAACGTGAAACTGGGAAACTATTTTGTATCGAAAGTATTTTGCTAACTTTCTGACTTCTTCAAGATCTGGCAGAGGTCCACTTTGACAGATCTTTGTCTATTTTTTGACTCCCGAGTTCTCTCAATGTGCCGACAAAAAATGGTCAGAAGTCGAAGAACCCAATTCCATATTGCATACCATTCGATGTAGGATAAAACGCCGACTTGAAGTTTGCACTTCCTATTCGCTGAGCTCATTTGTGGAAGATTTTATGAGCGGTTTTATTGCAGGAAAATCTTATATGGATTATAGTTGAAGCGACCGAAAACTTTCGTCGCACGAATGAATTTCGAATAATTGGCTTTTGAAAAATATTCGAACGAACCAATATCATTCGATCTGTGATTTTCAGATCATTCGAATTCGAATATCCGAATAATGCTACATTTCAGAATTCGAATGAACGAATATTCGAATAAATGGGGTTGGTCGAATATTCGACTATTCGAATAATTGAATAATGACATATTGTCGAATATTTAATTATACCTGTTCGAATATTCGACTATTCGTATATTCGAATAATCACATCTGTTCGAATATTCGACTATTCGAATAATTCGAATAATTTAGCACTTCAAACAATGCTGGTTTTTTCTTTGTTGCGGTTTCCTGCAAAAAAAATTAATCGCTATATTTGATCTAGATTTGTAGCTGATAATTATATGTGTAGCAAGTGGTAGGATGACTGGGTTATTGCCGTTGGTCAGGGTTCCACTTAGAGACCGAAGAACTTTACTCGTAGTTCAAGGTGTTCATGGTCTTTTAAGATGGCTATTAACAAGGGAATGGTCAGAAGTCGAAGTGGCCGAACCAAACAAATTGCATACCATTCGATGCAGCATAAAATGCTGATTTCAAATCTGTCTTCCATATCTGCAGAGTGCCTTTGTAGGCGAAGTTATGAGCAGCTTAGCGCGAAAAAACCGTATGCAAAAATTGCAAAATTTGGTACATTATTGCTCTTTCAGCTCCACTCTAGATACGGGTCATATGATGTGACCTAGTTGCATGTTTTGGTCCAATACTGAGCCACGAATGGCTTTGTACGGCCAAGTTTGCACTTTACACGCACAACATCCAACGGCTTATAATTTCGTCTACAAGAGTGCTCTGCAGTTAAGGAAGATAGTTTAGAGTCAGCATTTTATGTTGCATCTAATGGTATGCAGCTTGTATGGATTGGCCACTTCGACTTCTGACCATCCCCTTGTAAGCCTTACATTGTAATCTTCAAGTCCGCATTTATTCTTCCTAAGAGAAGTTTCTCCCGAAGCTAAAGATTTAACATGGAAAACCTTTTGGATTAGGTATCTGTTTGTAACTTATTCGTGATGGTCAGTACTGCGTGAGTTCTAAGACTAGCACTGGGGAGCCTACAGTAATAGAATCAATGAACCTCTGCTGCTGTCCCGAAAGTTTTGTCCGTTTCTTCAAACCACCACAAAACCACTCACAATAAAGACCCGAATGAGTTTCAACATGCATTCGATGCAGCTTTCTTTCTCCTTTAGAGAATACATTTTCAAACCGCAATCTTGTATGCTTTCTTTGATAATTGCCAAAATTCTCCATCCGTCAACTTTATCTGCTCAAAGTGTAGCTACTTTTTTAGAATCTTATTCTAAAGTTGAAAGGACTAAGTATGGGACAAATAGAGCAATTCTCGGACTACAAGATAATATTTATAGGTTCTCTTAATTTGCTGTTTTTAGCTTCAAAAACATTATTTCTTCGGAAGTCTCGATTTTTTTCATTTTTAGCTTCAAAGCAACTGCAGCAAATTCACGAAAGATTGCGAAGCTTTTGCGAATTGAAATATGATTCTTATCAAACATTGTTTATCCTACATACCAAGTTTGCTTTGCTTTGAGAAAGCAGCTTTGTGGAATTTTCGGTACTTTTACGTGGTAAACGTAATCAAAAACCCCCAGTTTTTATCAAACAAATAATTATAACGAGCTTGGTAAACATGGCCCATGTAATCTAGAATGGGTACAATGTAGTCAAAGGTTTGCTTTACATAACAATCATCAGCGCTCTTTGAAAACATCAGGATAAAAATTCTAAAATTCAGTGAAGGTTTGGCATTACTTTTGAGCTGCTCAGAAAGCCGTGACGTTAACATTGCAAAAACAGAGTAGATCAGAGAGCAAAGACAGTTGTAAGAAAGAATATAAAAATATGTGTCAAATCGTATCTAAGTTGTCCATGGTTGATGTTCTGTGAGCTCTAGTGAGCGATGAAAAAAAAACGGACAAAACTTCCGGGACAACCTAATACTTCTGTGCTCATCTAAATCCAAAAAAAACTCAAGGAAGTATCTGTATATTAGCTGATAATCTAATACTTGTCTGAAATTATCAATCACTGAGTTTCGCAGTTTCTGGTGTAGGATTGAATTTTCACAAAGTTGTTTGAAGCCTGCCCAAAATCAGCTGTACCCTAGAATCGGCGTAGGGAAAGCAAAAGATGCGCAACTTCAGTAGGACCCACAGTTTACATAGATAAATGCATTCGTGAGCTTGTGGTGGCTCTGCTTTTTGTTGAACATTTGGTGCATGAATCAAAGAGTGCGGCTGTGGCCATGATATGGTTGGAGGTTCTGCTCTGATCAACAAAGTTTGGGATGTGTCTATTTTGCCGACATTGCCTTTCCAAACGGTGGCTCAATGGTACGCCGTCGATTTTCTGGTGTTAGTTATAGCTTCATAGTTCAGTGCCTCAGTCCATGGTTGCCTCAGTACCACTCTCGAACCTTTGTGCTCAATTCTGCTCTAAATTCCTAGTACAATTGGGGTCAACGTGAAACTAGGAAACTATTTTGTATCTGTATTATTTTGTAAATCTACTATCTATTTTGTAAACTATCTAACTTCCTCAAGATTTAGCAGAGGTCCATTTTGCAGATCTTTGTCTATTCTTTCGACTTCCAGTTGTGTTAATGTGCCGACATAAAATGGTCAGAAGTCAAAGTAGCCAATTCAAACAAGTTGCATACTATTCGATGTAGGATAAAACGCCGACTTGAAATCTGCACTCGTCATCTGCTGAGCTCATTTGTGATAAAAATCGTAAGCGATTTTATTGCAGGATGCAAATTATCGCCTTCTCACTTTAGGTAAGGGCTATAAAAGTGATCTAGCTGCATATTTTTGCTCAGCATTCACAACAAACATGCCTGTGTGCGGCCAAATCTCGGCCAAATCACTTCACATACAGGGCCTATCAAACGCAGTGTCGCTTGCATCAGTATCCCACTCCCGCGCTGGATTCTGCGTCTCTCCCGCGAACATGCTCTCTAATCACATCCAGCCGATTGGGTAACCGCCTTCCCACGCTCGCCCTGGAAAAGTTATAACCATGTGCGCAAAAGAGATGCAGAGTCCAGCGCGGAAGTGGAGAAAGGGGGTCAGAATCGAACTGTGAAGGGCGATTGGTACCAGTGGCGTAGCCGAAATCGTTCGGGGGGGGGATTTTTAGAAGGTACCAAAGAATTATTTGGTGTACTGTAACTCTCAAGAATCTCGCGATCAATTCTCGGTGGGGAGGGGAGCCCTCTCCGTAAGCCACTGATTGGCACCAATTGGGAGATGCGTGCATTTTTCTGCCCACTAAACTCCAACGGTCGCTCCAAAGTGCGCTAATCTCTGATCTTTCTCTTTCAACAATCTAGAATGAGTTTTGCTTTGGAAACTGCAAAGCAAAGTTACTGCGGTTAGCAAGTCTGGAAGGTCCAGTGTATTAAAAGGCCTAAGAGCAGATCCTTTTTTGGAAGCAACTTCTACCACAAGTTAGGGGTCTTGAGCTTTTGGCAGCATACGATAGTAGGGTCCCCGTCAAGCCGATGCTCAGGTCGCGGAGCAGTATGTCGCCTCAGCAGGAACGTTGCTTTGGAACAACAAATAGGAGGACCGTAAGCAGCAACGCCTTTTCCAGCAAACCCACCTATCCATGTCCTTCCAATGGTTTTTCCCCAGATCCGCCTACGGGTTCTCCGCAACAAAGATGCGAAGTTCTCAGATTCTCGACTTCATATTCGGAATCAGGGACATGGACATACAAAGGCCCGGAATGACAAAAACATGGAAGTCGGGAATTTGGTGAACGGCACCTTTGAGTAAATGATAACGCTCAGTGGCAATTTGTGTGCCCCCAAAATGACGAGAGAAAGCGATATCGATTTTGCTATAGCAGATGATATGAATGTTTAGCCATAATAGAAATTTGACAAGTTCCTTTTGGAAAAACTTAGCCCCGCTCACATCATTGTCTTGTCTAAAATGTGAGATCAGCTATTCTTAGTGATTTTACTATCATAGTCAATTATTCAA